ATGGGAGAAGATATTTGCAAATGTCTTATCAGATAAAGGGCTAGGATCCAAAAACTATAAAGAACTTACCAAACTCAATATCTAAAGAACAAATGATCCAATCAAGAAATGGGCAGAAGACACAAACAGAATCTCTCCAAAGAAGACATATAAATGGCCAATAGACACATGGAAAAAATGCTCCACATCACTTGCCATCAGGGAAATACAAATCAAAACCACAATGAGATACCACCTCACACCAGTCAGAATGGCTAAAATTAACAAGTCAGGAAACGACAGATGTTGCCGGGGATGCGGAGAAAGGGGAACCCTCCTACACTGTTGGTGGGAATGCAAGCTGGTGCAACCACTCTGGAAAACAGTATGGAGGTTCCTCAAAAAAGCTGAAAATAGAGCTACCCTACAACCCAGCAACTGCACTACTGGGTATTTACCCCAGAGATACAAATGTAGTGATCCAAAGAGGCACCTGCACCCTAATGTTTATAGCAGCAATGTCCACCATAGATAAACTATGGAAAGAGCCCAGATGTCTATCAACAGACAAATGGGTAAGGAAGATGTGGTATATATATTCACAATGGAATACTACTCAGCCATCAAAAAATGAAATCTTGCCAAGTGCAACAACATGGATGAAACTAGTGGGTATTAAGCTAAGTGAAATAAGTCAATCAGAGGGGCACCTGGGTGGCTCAGTCGTTAAGCATCTACCTTCAGCTCAGGTCATGATCCCAGGGTCCTGGGATCGAGCCCCACATTGGGCTCCCTGCTCAGCAGGAAGCCTGCTTCTCCTTCTACCATTCTCCCTGCTTGCGTTCCTGCTCTCGCTGTCTCTCTCTCTGTCAATAAAATCTTTAAAAAAAAAAAAAATAAGGGCACCTGGGTGGCTCAGTTGGTTAAGCGACTGCCTTCGGCTCAGGTCATGATCCTGGAGTCCCAGGATCGAGTCCCGCATCGGGCTTCCTGCTCAGCGGGGAGTCTGTTTCTCCCTCTGACCCTCCCCCCTCTCCTGCTCTCTCTCTCTCATTCTCTCTCTCAAATAAATAAATAAAATCTTAAAAAAAAAAAAAGAAATAAGTCAATCAGAGAAAGACAATCATCATATGATTTCACTCATATGTGGAATTTAAGAAACAAAACAGAGGAGCATAGAAGACGAGAGGCAAAAAAACCAAGATGAAATCAGAGAGGGAGGCAAACCAGAAGAGACTCTTAATCACAGGAAACAAACTGAGGGTTGCTGGAGGGGAGGGGGGTGAGGAGATGGGGTAACTGGGTGATGGACATTAAGGAGGGCACATGATATAATGAGTACTGGATATTATACAAGACTGATGAATCGCTGACCTCTACCTCTGAAACTAATAATACAGTATACATTAATGAACTGAATTTTAAAAATGTTTTTAAAAAGAAAAAAATAAATGGGGACAAGAAAGGGACAGGAGAGAAGGAGCTAGTTAAGGTAAAGCGAGGAGGGGTAAACAGTGAATCAGAAAAGGTCCTTAAGAAGGTGGGAAGGGAGAAAGGCTGGTGTTCCACAGAAGGAAGGGTGCTTCTCCTACTGACATTAGGTAGTACACCCAGGTAATATGATGGCAGTAGTAACAATAATAAAATGAGAATTTTAACCAAAGTCCTCTGACTCCAAAAACCATTCAGCAGAATCTATACAAAAAACAAATTTAGTAAGGCTTAAAGTTAGTATCTAGTTAGGTCTTAATTATTCATTCTTTGAAATATTTACCAAGCACCTATTAAGTACCACAGTATTTGGTATAGAATGCTAAAACCAGGTATTCTCCAACCTGTGGAACATAAGCCATTGGCTGGTGAACGGCCCTGGCTGCCCAGATCATGCAGGCTCAGAGGGCAAATGCTCAGTCCTGACCCAACTCCTCAGCATATCCTTAAGTAATCTTCTAAATGATTCCAACACTTAATGGCCAGTTGAAGAGAGACTTGTAAGCCACTGCTACTCTCACATTCCAAAATGGGTCAAAAAATGCAAAAAAAAAAAAAAAATTGGGGGGCGCCTAGGTGGCTCAGTCATTAAGCGTCTGCCTTCGGCTCAGGTCATGATCCCAGGATCCTGGGATCGAGCCCTACATTGGGCTCCCTGTTCCGCGGGAAGCCTGCTTCTCCCTCTCCCACTCCCCCTGCTTGTGTTCCCTCTCTCACTGTCTCTCTGTCAAATAAATAAAAAATCTTTAAAAAAAAATAATACTCTTTTAAAAAAAATTTTTTAAGAAAATGCAGAATTTTAAAATATGATAAATAAGCGTCCTCTCCCCTGTACCTTGAATATGGGCTGCATTTAGTGACTTGTCTCCAAAGAGCAAAGAAGAAGACATGTCCCTCCTTACCCTGTTTACATCTCACTAGGGGTGACAGGCAATGAGCAAAGGAACGAACCAAACATGCATACAATGTGCAGGCAAACATACACAGACACACACACACACACACACACACACACGCAAGAAAAAGAAAGGGGTAACGTTACAAGGGAGAAGCCTGGCAAACACTTCGTTGGCCAGGAGATCAAGGCCAGCATCACCAGGGATGAGCTATGCTGGTGGTCACTACACGACAATATAGGACTTCACCCCTGTGGTCTTCCTCCACGAACACATAGCCCCAAGTATACTCTTGAGAAAAACATCAGAAAAATTCTAATAGTGGGGCATCCTACAAATACCTGACCAGTACTCCTAAAAACTGCAAGGTCCTCAAAAATAAGAAACATCTGAGAAACTGTCAGCCCAGAGGAGCCTAAGGAGACATGACAACTCAAAGCAATGTGGGATCCTAGGACAGAAAAAGGAAATTAGGGAAAAACCAATAAAATCTAAATAAATACAAGTTTAGTTATAGTAATATAACAGTTTCTTCGTTCTGACATTTTTAAATGCTACAAACTAAACGTGAACTACAGAATCTAGGTGATAGATATGGAGGTGTTCATTATAAAATTCTTTTAACTCTCTTGGTTTTTTTAAACACGTCATTTAAAAAGTTGGAAAAACAAGACATGCTACATTTTAATGGCCATCACTGGCCTCCCTCTGACACAATTAGATTTGACAAAATGTGTCTTCTCACATTAGGTGGAACCTAGTCAGTCAACTCACTGTTGTCACGACTATTGTTTACGTTCACATCACAAATGTTTGTAATAAAAGTCAAACTGCCAGACAGAGCACTTTGGCCCCATCCATCAAAATTACAAATGCATAAACCATCTGACCAGCAATTCCACTTCCGGGAACTTATTTTCTAGGAAGGCCTCACCTACACCAGGGTCTTCAACGGGGGCAGCTTACTCCCCAGAGATTGCCTGCAAACATTTTTGGTTGTCACAATGGGAGACCCTACTTGCATCCAGTGGGTCAAAGCCAGAAATGCTATTCAATATCCTAAGGTGAATGCACAGGGCAGCCCCCACCACACAGAACTGGCCCAAAATGTCAACAGTGCTACTAAGACTGGGAGAGCCTGGCCTCTAAGACACACTGTCACACGTGCAGAGCTGTTCTCCTGCAACACTGTTTTTATAAGAGAAGCCCAGAGGGGTGGCCTGGGTGGCTCAGTTGGTTGAGGGGCGGACTCTTGGTTTCAGCTCAGGTCATGCATGATCTCAGGATCCTGGGATGGAGCCCCGCATCCAGCTCAGCCCTCAGAGAGGAGTCTGCTCCCTTTCCCTCTGCCCCTCTCCCCTCTAAATAAATCAATCAATAAATCTTGGGGGGAAAAAAAAGGCCCAGAAACACTGGAGATTAGTGAGATACAGAATGACATATGCACTTGAAAGAACAGAATATAGCTCTAAAAAAGAGAATGAAAAAACCACGTACTGACGAGAAAAAACATGAAAGGGTGAATGAGAACGCAAGGTGCACGCAGAAGGAGCACTGCCCTTTCTGTAAAGGGGAGACAGTAGGTTTGCATTTGCTCCCGCACACATACCAATTTATACAATGCTTCCTAAGAACTCCTTAACAGTGGTTTCCTCTCGTTGGCAGGGAAGCTGGGCAGAGGGCAGGAGTAGGAAGGACATAGTTTACACCTGCTCATACTTTTCGATGTTCAAATCCTGTGAATGTATTACCCATGTGAAAATAATTTGGATTCAACAGCAGCTGTTCATAAGAATACATTATCACAGTTCTGCACCACAACAATACGTCCCTCCTTCAGTCTAGAGCAGTAAAGTTTGTCTTAAGGGCGCCTGGGTGGCTCAGTTGGTTAAGCGACTGCCTTCGGCTCAGGTCATGATCCTGGAGTCCCGGGATCGAGTCCCGCATCGGGCTCCCTGCTCAGCGGGGGGTCTGCTTCCCCCTCTGCCCTCTTCCCTCTCGTGCTCTCTGTCTCTCATTCTCTCTCTCTCTCAAATAAATAAATAAAATCTTAAAAAAAAAAAAAAAAGCAGCAGTTCGGGGGCGCCTGGGTGGCTTAGTCAGTTAAGCATCTGCCTTTGGCTCAGAGGTCATGGTCCCAGGGTCCTGGGATCAAGCCTCGCATCATCAGGCTCCCTGCTCAGCGGGCAGCCTGCCTCTCCCTCTCCCTCTGCAGCTCCCCCCTCCACTTGTGTTGTCTCTCTTGTTCACTCTGATGTCTCTCTCAAATAAATAATCTTTAAAAAAATAATAAAAGAAGCAGTTTAATCAAAATAAAATTTGAAATAAGATTACCTCCCACCCCCAAATGAATCCACAATTCTGTAGATGACCAGAATCTGACATTTTTCATCAACAAAGTATAAAGCCAGTCAATAATTTTCACCGGAATATACAATGTGAGTGTTTATACACTCATGGTTTACAACAAACACGGGAGGTTCCTTCCACTTATTCTTCTCCAGTCCCTACCCCCCACCATCTCCCAGCTTGGGACTTCAAGCTCTGCTACAGTATTAACAACTGCAGCTGATGAAAGCAGGCTTAATCAAACACAAAAGTACATTCACTATAAAAGAATGCATTCCAACATACCCTGCCATGATGAATGTGCCCCAAATCATCAAGATAATACTCTTCAATTGAATGGGGCTTTCCTTCCACTTCAAAAACATAAGCAGGGTTCATCTTGTTTTGAACAGGAACAGCAAAGTAATCTGCAAACTCTTTACAATTGATGGTGGCCGACATGAGGATTACCTACAGAATAAGAGAAACCGTTAAAACAAATAAAATAGTCATAATAATAACTGAAATGAAATACTGTTAAAATGCCAAGCTTGTCTTCTGCTTTAATAATTTTCAAAATTTTAGTAGAATACATTGATTTAATCCCTAGTGTAATACTAATTATTGCAGTTTGAAGAATGCTCGGAGATACCACCTTTTATTATTTAAATTATTTATTATCTTAAATAATTTTATCAAGTGAGAAACTACATGTCCAATAAAGCTGAATTATAACCATTTATCTAAAATGAAACTTTGTAAAAGAAAACAAAACAGAGTAAGTTACTAGATGAGGTGTTACAGAAAGTGAGGGAGTAGAGCAGCCCTGGTAGACATGGAGTCGGAAAACCTTGGTTCTAAGCCGAGAGGAACCAGTTCAGATCTGAGCAAGACACAGAGGATTGGGGACCCACCTCAGGTGTTAGTTTTGCCAGAAATGCAGTATGAGAGGATACCTTTAAGAGACTCGGCCGTGAAAACAGGGGCAGCACTCACAGCACACCAGATGTGCCCTAAATAAGGCAGCAGCTCAACGAAGAATGCCCACCACCCACCAGCCTCAGAAATGCTCACCAGGGGTAAACACAACTCTCTGCTGGGGGCTGACTACCCACTGCATCCTGGCGAGTAGGATCTCTACGGTGTGTGCATCATAGCAGAAAAGTAACTTTATACAGGCATTATCTGCAGTTAGTGGGCATACAAAATATGCCAATTTTCTCCTTCGACATTAGATCCAAAGGGTATTTTAAAAGCATATTAACCAGAATTCACTTTAAGATGAGATGCCTGATGTTGGAAGGAAGGCTCGGAGAAGCCACTTGGATGTAAGAACGGCCCCCAAGGGGCAGACCCTGTCACAGTAGATGATCTCTACACAATCTTCCAAAGGATAGTGAGGCTAACGACACGCAGGGCCTTTGTTCTGTTGAGGCAGCATGCGGTCATCAGTCAGACTGCTCAGGGCAACCAAGATTCCACACTGCCACCAGCTTCGCCTCCAAAGAGACAACGTGGCAGCCCGAGACACCTGCTTGTGCAGGGTGAGACTGGGCTGAGCGTGGTCAGCCAGCAGGGGAAGCGGGGTCAGCACCTGCAGGGACGGCACAGAGCCAGGAACCTCTACGGGTCTGTGTGGCAGAAAGGAAGACCTTCAGGCCCACCTGCCCACACTCCTGAATCGCAGTCTCCGGCAGCAGCTCTCTTTTTAAAAAGTAATAAAAAAAAGAATTTTTGAGCAGTTCAAAAAACTCTGTACAATGCCATCTAGAACCGGACTTCTAATTTCTTGGCCCAGAAAATATTCTGCTTCATAAGTTTCTTAATAAATTAAGAAAATACTGAAACTAACTAATGGTTTCCTCCAATTTATATGATAGGTACCAAATTCCTGGCCACCATTTTCAGCAGTGTGGTAGACTTTTTAAAATCCACTAGTACTCTTAGTTCTCTTTCCTACCGAAAACTAAAAAAACGTAATTAAGTCAATATCTAACTAAAAGTAGAAAAGTCTTAACATGACAACTGAGAAAGGCCCCAATTTGTTGAACAATCTTTAATGTCATCTTTTAAGGGTCCAAAAAAGGAATAAAACAGCCAAATTCCTGCATTCTTTTTACAATCACCTCAAGCAATAAGACAACCATGTGCAATGTCAGGTTCCATTCATTTAGCGCCCACCAGGTGAGAGGCTGACAGCCCCATCTTGGGGGCGGGGCAAGGAGAAGAAATGCTTCCATAAGCAAATAAATAGACGACACACTGGAAGACAAGACACTTTATGTTTAGAAAGCAACTTGCTTTCCAACAGCAATAAACCCTGCCACAGCCCTTTACATGGTGACACCTCACGGCAACCATGGCTGCCCTTCAGAAAGCTGTCCCCACACACAGGGATGGCCTATGTCCAGAATGCATAATTATTATAACCCCTCGTTATTTTGGTCTGGTTCACACCGTGCTCCTTTTAGTTCACATAAGATGCAAACAACGCTCACATCCCCACGGACTTTCAGTTAACCCAAACAGAAGTCTCTACGACAGCTGCCCACATAACCGCTCTCAAGCTTCCACGTGCTCCGGTGCTGTTTTTAAAACAGATTACAGATATATTCACATACCTTCAAATTGTGGTAATTTTTCAACCAAAAGCAGTGCATTCAACCAACACCCAGCATTTCATTAGAGTCAACTATTATTACATCATTTTCTGCCTGGAGAAAATTTTAGAATTTAATGCAACATAATAACCAAAAAGTATTCCATACTCTGATCCTAAGAAAATGCCCCTGAGCTAGCATCCTAGCAAAATGTGGAGAAGTATGTGTGACAACAAATTTTTTAAGAGTCACTGCTTTCAACTGTTTCTGTAAAAATAAAGAGAAATAAAACTAAATAATAAGCCTTAACCCTAAATATTTCTGTTACTCATGAAATCAAATTTACCTTCACAAAACGTGAATTTGTTCTTAAAAGTTTACGGACCACCAACAGCAGGAAATCCATTTCTTCAGTTCGCTCATGTACCTACAAAATAAAAAAGCGGGGCACCCCACATATCAAGCAACACACACATGACTGCCCAACGAACAGAGGGAAGTGGTTTTAATGGTGCACCCAGGAGACTGGGGACAAATCTGCTCTCTCTCTCTGCTAAAGGTACTTCCTTGGGACTGGTATCACTCCCAGGTAAGAGAAAGCCAGGAACACTGGCCCGCAAACGAGAGGGCACAGAAGAGGCATGTCACTGTCCGCACCCCCCACCCCCGTGCTTCTCTTTGGGGCCCTACTGGCATTTGGGCAGAGTAATGTTTAGCATCCTTGGGCCTGCCCCTTCAATGCCAATCATGTCCCGGATCACTATTAACAACCAAAATCACCCCCAGACATCCTCAGCACAGAGAACAACTGGACCAGCCTCCCCATGCTATCCCTGGCCAGCCACACACCTCTGCCTCACTCTCATGTTACACTTATTTTAGCAAGTAAGTACAGGGTGAAAGCTGTGGCTGGACAGCAGCGTACCCCATCCATGATGTGCAGAGCTGTGTTCCCAAGGGCGGGCTAAGGTGGTCTCTGAACAGTTAGATCAGTCAAAAGCAGGGAAAGCAGACCCAGGTCAGCTGAGGACACCAGCGCGAGCTGCAGGAGCACTGGGGAAATGGTGTCAAGGGGGTCACCCCTGGATGGTTCACTCCAAGTTCTACCACTCAGGGAGAGCAGCTACTTCCCCCCTCCTCAGGTGGGAGCCCTTCAAGCAGAGCCCACCCAAGGTCCCACAGCTCCCTCGGCCTCCCCCTACTCTGCCGGCCCCAGAACCAGCCAACAGCAAAGGGTTGGGTCATGTGGGGCTGTTTTTTCACAAGAACCCTCTACTTGGTCACGTAGCCAGGATACCTCATTGCATAAGGGCACAGGAAGATTCTATTCTGGGACGTTTTGCTGCCAAAGTGGAGAGATTAGCTACAGAGTCTGAAAGAGGGAGCTCTCTTCCCCTCGGAGTAAAAGGCCCAATGATTTATTCCACAGCCATGTCTGTTCCAGGTCCTACCCCTTCCTCACTCCCCACCAAAGGGGAGATGGGGAAGGGAGGACAGAAAAAAGAAAACAAAAACAAAAACAACAAAACAGCAGCTGGAAAGTATTTAATGTTCATGTCCATGGCTGGAAATCCTAGAAACACCATTATAAATCGAATTCTTATGTCATTCTATCATCGGACTCCAGAACACCTCCTCAACATAAACATTCTATCTCTTCCTTGAGAAGGAAAAATACTCTCATCAGTGAAGAGCCCCAAAGTGACATCTCCTCAGCTTCTAGCTCGACCTCCACACTCTGACGCTAACGACCCGGCTTCTCCCTGGGCTCTCGAAGCCACCCTGCCTCCTCTCCCGCTCTGAGGACCCCACTCTCCTCAGGATGCCCACAGCCCTCTCCCTGCCACTGGCCTCCACAGCACATAAACACACATACCTCAGCAGGTATCTGTCTCCCCAGGAGACTGGATGAAAGGAGAAACCACGATTTACCTGTCTTTATAACTTCGGCACCTGATGAGGCAGGTACCGGAAAAAAGCTTCTTGAATGAACGGCTTACCTGAAACTAGTTTATTATTTTTCAAGAGCTGAGAAGTTAAAAACATTAGCATCCCATTTTCAACTGCGTGGCCATCTTCAATCTTTGCTCTTAGATTTGCTTTGAAATTCAATCATCCCACACAACTGGAACAATAGTTTATAAACCTACAATTTCAAGTATAATCCAATCCAACCTCTGCTGAAGCAAATACTTATCGGCATACCTACTAGGAGCTAGGGATACAGTAGAGCCAGAAGCTGTTGTTAACAGAGTGACAAGACAGGTCTCTGCTAGCGACCGGTGCCCTGCAGAGCAAGCTCTTGCTGAGAGCAGCCAACAGGAGGTATGACGGCACAGCTTCAGGAAGGACTGAAGTCAGTAACACAGGTGGATGGGGTGTCCTCGTCACTCAGGGATGTGTGCGCAAGAAGCCCACTTAGACAGAAAGGCAGTGGATACACAGAAAATACACAAGGATGCCAGCGGCAGAGCTCCAGAGTAAACTGCCCAGGGCGCGCCCCGCAACACCATTTGCTGTGTGGAGCCCTCCACTTAAGGCTCAATAAGCGGTAACTACTGTGAACTTGGCAATGCCACCTTTGAGTACACTGCCCATGAAACCTGCATTTCCTCCTATCTAATCCAAAGACACTCAAAAATGCCAAAAATCATAAAGAAAAATCCTGAACCATGGTGATTAACATAATAAAACAAACATTTATCAGGGCATTTCTGCAAAGTAACCTTAGTTTCTTGCACCATTTTTCTAGGAGCTTAGGAATTATATCATATGTACAACAACAACATAAAACCTTTAAAAATACAGAACTCAGAGTACTTGAACATTTGTAAAATATTTTTAATTAATTTTTAATGATTTTTAATATTTTTAATATTTTAATATTAAATATTTATTAAGTAAGAAAGTTGTTCTTGTATTAGACAGTGGTGTACAATATTACTTCATGGTATAATGTTTAATTAAAATATACTAATTTATGTATTTATTAGCTTTATCCGTAAAGCGGAGAGAACTGCTGCATAATTTTAAGAAAAATGTAAATGAGGGTTTTGGCATCACTAATAAAGTTAAATTAGCATAAGTTTAAAAAAAAAGAAAAATCCTGAACCATACTGCACGTTACACTATTTTGCAAAGAACAAGAGATCGTTTTCCTACTTTCTACTCTCCCAAACACCCCCTAGTAATTTAAAACCATGTTTAGGGGCACCTGGGTGGCTCAGTCGGTTAAGCACCTGCCTTCGGTTCAGGTCACAATCCTGAGGTCCTGGGATCCAGCCGCGCACTACCTCCCTGCTCAGCGGGGAGTCTGCTTCTCCCTCTCCCTCTGCCCCTTCCCCACACTCGTGCATGCACATGCTCTCTACCTCCTCTCAAATAAATAAAATCTTTAATAAAAATAAAAATTATAAAACCACATTTAACTGTACACAAGCTAGCAAATGCACCCACTCAGCTCTACCTGAAGTATGTGTGTTATTAATGATCACACACACTTCAAGAGAGTAGAGAGACCTGACCCTCCACAGCCACCCAGATGGCTTCATTTCAGCCTCTGTCTTCAGCTCCATCTCCAACCTTCCACAAATCTCTCTCTTTGCTGAAGCTTCTTAAGGCATAAATACTGGGGTTTAAAATTCAAGAATGTGGGGCGCCTGGGTGGCTCAGTTGGTTAAGCGATTGCCTTCGGCTCATCAGGTCATGATCCTGGAGTCCCGGGATCGAGTCCCACATCGGGCTCCCTGCTCAGCAGGGGGTCTGCTTCTCCCTCTGCCCTCTTCCCTCTCGTGCTCTCTGTCTCTCATTCTCTCTCTCTCAAATGGATGAATAAAATCTTTAAAAAAAAAAAAAAAAAAAAGAATGTGGGCTGGAGGCATTTCCAAAACTCCTGGGAAAATTGAATACAACATCATCCCACCTCAAAAAACTCGTTTAAAATATAAACAAAATCAATTACATATTCCATCCTGAGCAAAACCCAGAAAGATAAGACTGGCACAAAGACAGACTCTTGAGTTTTTTTTCCGAAAGGAGACTATATCAGTATCTTATATTTATTGATTTTGTTAAAAGACACTAATTAGGGCACCTGGGTGGCTCATGGCTCAATTGGTTAAGCGACTGCCTTCGGCTCAGGTCATGATCCTGGAGTCCCGGGATCAAGTCCCGCGTCGGGCTCCCTGCTCAGCGGGGAGTCTGTTTCTCCCTCTCCCGCTCCCCCCTCTTGTGCTCTTTCTCTCTCTCACTCTCTCTCTCAAATAAATAAAATCTTAAAAAAAACAAAAAAGACACCAATTATTCTTGTTACAGTAGACAGAAAGTATCTGTGATGCACACAAAATACCTACATACCAGTATCTGATGGGGCTAACACTCTAAACCAGAGGTCGGCAGACTGTCCCTGCAAAAGGCAGACAGTGAGAATGTCCAGCTTTGCAGAACACGGCGGCTGATGCAGCCACGGTTCTCTTCCGCAGCAATGCAGCCACACCCATAAACAAGCAAGCAGATCCGTGTTCACATAAAACTTTATTTACAGAGACAGGTGCCAAATTTGGCCTGAGAGCTGTAGTCTGTCAACCCTACCCTAAACAAGGAATGTGGTCATAGTCCCCAACCTCCAAGCCTGCGTTTTAGAACTAAGAGCAAAACAGAGAATCAACATTCATGAAGAGAATAAGGCAGATATAGACCCACAGTACTTTTTGACACTTTACAAGGAGGGAACATTTACAGTAATTTGCAGGGTTCTCTTCTAAAATAAGAATATGAATATCAGAGCAGACCTATGTAAAAGAAGTACTTACTTCATCAATGAAGACATGGGTGAATTCCATCAAACTCTTAGCACTAACAATTTTCTGAAGCAAGACCCCTGTTGTCATATAAATTAACTTGGTGTCTTCTGTTGCTATTTTCTCTAACCCTACCTAAAAGTAGGGAAGGAAAAGAGAAAGGAGAAAACTTTCAGGTTTAAATGGTTTGCATTTAACTACCAAAAAAGGCTATGTCCATTTATTATTGGAGATAAGTAAGAAAGGGAATAAAAAATACAGAACTTAAATTAAAACTATTGTTCTTGGAGTGCCTGGGTGGCTCAGCTGGTTGAGCATCTGACTCTTAATCCCAGCTCAGGTCTTGATCTCAGGGTAATGAGTTCAAGCCCCACGTTGGGCTCCACGCTGGGTGTGGAGCCTACTTAAAAATAAACACAAACAAAAGCTGTTGTCAAGTTGATTTTTTTCTTCTCTTTTTCGGCGGGGGGGAACTATGGCTTATCTAGTAATGTCTCATCTGTATCATTTTTACATTAAGACAACAGTGTACGAAGACCTCTACATACAAAGAAAAATTACAAAACCCATGAGTCTGAGAATTCTCACTTCTTTCCTGTTCAACTGAGAAACTGAAGTTATTACCAAGAAATTCAGTTTCACTATTTTCAGGGGCACCTGGGTGGCTCAGTTGGTTGAGAGTCCAACTCTTGATTTTGGCTTGGGTCATGATCTTCAGGGTCCGGAAATCAAGCCACATATCCAGCTTCATGCTCAGCACAGAGTCTGCTTGTCCCTCTCCCTCTACACTTCCCCCTACTCGTGCGCGGGCTCCCTCACTCTCTTTGGAATGAATAGATAAAATCTTTAAAAGAAATTGGCTAAGAAATTCAGTTTCACTATTTTTTTTTAAATTACACCACAGTTCTGCTCTGTAAGCAACTGGTTTCATTTCCATTTCCAGAAGAAAATAACCACATCTTATCATCAACTTATATGGAATAAAGAATTCACAAGGAGGGAGACGTCTTGCTCTCAATCTCACCTGATAGCCCACCAGTCCACCCAACGTCCAGGCTCGCTCTTTACTGATCCATCTGGCAATACTGCTGGCCCCTATCTTCCGAGGTTGGGTCACAACAATGTTGCAGTAGGTAGAGCGCTGAATATAATGATCCAGGATATACTGTGGGAGCTGAGTACTTTTACCACTACCCGTGGCACCATGTATAACCACCACAGAATTACTTTCTATCAGAGAAATAACCTAGAATTTAAAAAAAGTTCTTTTGAAATTGCCACAAAATTAATGATGACATAGACTATTACCTAGAAGTCAAAAACTTTATCTTAGGAGGATGTTCAGGATTTATCTGCCTTTCATCTTTAAAAGTTAAATTATTACCTAACCATCTAAATATCACAATAGAGAGAAAGAAGGCTACAAATGGCTGCTACTCGGAAAAGCAATCCAACCGCTGAGCACAGGAACTGCTAACAGCCACAGAAAGCCAAGCCAGCGCAGCCCCAGCGCTCCAGGCCTCCACATCTCCATCCAAAAACGTAGAACACCTGGGGCGCCTGGGTGGCTCAGTCGGTTGAGCGGCTGCCTTCGTCTCAGGTCATGATCCCGGGGTCCTGGGATCGAGCCCCACGTGGGGCTCCCTGCTCAGCGGGGAGTCTGCTTCTCCCTCTGCCTCCCCCCTGGCTTGTGTTCGTGCTCTCTCTCTCAGATAAATAAAATCTTTAAAAAAAAATGAAAACACTCAAGGATTTCCATAGTCTAAAAAAGTCTAAAGACCTATTATTTTAAAATTTTGTAATGAATCTTATATAATTCTGAGAAACATGAAAGTACTGCTGTTATTACCCTCAGGTGGTTTAAAATTTTTTTTTTTTTTTAAAGATTTTATTTATTTTTGAGAGAGAGCGAGCGCGCATAAGCGCGAGCACAAGCCGAGGGGAAGGGCAGAGGCAGAAGCATACTCCCTACCCAGCCGGCAGCCCAATTCGGGACTCTATCCCAGGACCTGAGTCAAAGGCAGACACTTAACCGACTGAGCCACCCAGGCCCTGGTTTTAAAATTTCATTTGAAATTCTGCAGATGCGTTTTCAATTAATTTCCACTGTATCACTTACAGACTGTATGGAGCATTTTTAAAACTCCAATCTAATTCCTACCCACCACTCCTTGACTCCACCCTAAATTTATCTAAGCTCTTATCTCTCTGGCAATTGCTATGGTCAGGGAATACAAATTATGAGTTTAAGCCTCTAAAAATTAATAAAGAATATATATTCCACAAAAGTTTACGGCTCACTAAAACAAACCTTAAATTTGGAACATTTATGGTTTAGTTTTATCTGTAACTGATCCTTCCACTAGTATGTTAAATGTTTCAACATGCTCATTTCTGACCTGGTTTAAAAACGTGTAACTAATTAAAAGCGTAATCAGCCTGCTGCAATTATCTGGCCCAGCATTGTTTAATAAAATGATATATCAATGACTGATCAAATCAATTAATAGGCCAGTAGAATGTTAGAGAGAACTGTGGCCAGGGTACATTATTACTTTACAAAAAGACTTGGCAGTGAGTTTTTTCCCAAGAAGCAGCTCTCCTGGGGACTGCAGAGGTGTTTCCCTACAGCTATCTCAGAGGAGGGAAGGCTGAACAAATGAAAGTACAGCCAAAAGGAAGACCATCAACACCGTTATTATGAGGCCCGGGCACATGCTGCTCTGGCCGCCCCAGTGTCTGGCACAAGCCATTTATGCTTGCCTGACACCTCACCACTTTCTCTCTATAAACCAAAAAGTTGGGCCTCAGACATTTATTCAAACAGCAGAATTATATTATGACAAAAATAATTTTACCTCTTCCTTACATCGATTTATAGGCAAATCAGGATATTTATAATTTGTCTCTGGGATGCATGTCACATTGCTTAATTTAGCCGAAGATGGCCTTGCACCTGTATTCAGACAAAACAAACAAATACAATTAAGTATCTGAAAAAGGAGAAGGTAAACAACCCAACGTTATGTCTAATCTATATATAGTTATATCTAATCTATATATACAGCATATACATGTACACGCACACAAATGCAAAAGTACATTCTACAGGCTAACAATGCAAGCAGGGTAACCAGTAAATTTCCTCAGTACCCACTATTAATCATTTATACAAGCTGAGCAGACTTACACCTCCATCACAGCCATCAACGTGGTAGGCTTAGCACCACCTCCTAAGATGAAAGACCGGCAAGCACAGTACCTATCACCTGAAAATGGTACCTTGAAAATTAGTGAAGAACACCTCATTTAGAATGGCCTCAGGAGGCCGGCAGGAGCAGCGCAGCCGCCCCCCATTCACTGACCACAGCAGACCCAACAGGAAGACACGCCCCTTGCCCATGGATACTATGTTACCTTCCCAGCAGGACGAAGGAAGGTTTCCTCCTCCCTTGGCAACAGCCCAGCCAATGAGAGACCGTCACGGCCCAGCCAATGGGAGACGGTCCCGGCTCAGCCAAAGACAGATGGTCCAGCCTAGCCAATGAGAAACCTCTATACTTTGAGCTCTGTTTACTCCAGTGGACTTTCCGTTTACAACAACCCCACTCCCCACCCCTCAAAAAAGAGCCTCCTCTGCTTTGTTCTCAGGTTTTTCTCTACCTTGCTTGTCGTGGATTGAAATTGTTATTCCCAGATAAATCCATCTTTTGCTGGTAAAATAACTGGCAGTTTTTTTTTTTAAGGTTAACAGTACTAAAATGGTTAGCTTAAAGAACAAACTTTTATTTCAAATTTAGAATGCACCGTTTTTATTTTAATTAAAGATTTTATTTATTTGAGAGAGAGAGAGATAGCAAGAGCAGGAACACAAGCAGCGGGGAGTGGGAGAGGGAGAAGCAGGCTTCCGGCCGAGCAGGGAACCCGATGCGGGGCTTGATCCCAGGACCCCGGGATCATGACCTGAGCCGAAGGCAGATGCTTAACGACTGAGCCACCCAGGCGCCCTGTTGTTAGTTTCTTACTACTAAAATAAATTCATAGACACGAAATACCACTGACGAACTACAGGTATCCTGAAAATGAGCAATTTGACTCTGATAAAGAAGCATGATGCAGCGCTCTGACCATTATCATCCTCCTGTAAATATACCCCCCCTCTCCAGCAATGCTAGAAATTCTGGACCTCAAAAATCATCACTTGACGGATTGACAAGTCATCAAAATTTACAGGACACAAACTTTTTTTTTTTAAGATTTTATTTATTTATTTGACAGAAGAGACAGCAAGAGAGGGAACACAAGCAGGGGGAGTGGGAGAGGGAGAAGCAGGCTTCCCGCAGAGCAGGGAGCCCAATGTGGGGCTTGATCCCAGGACCCTGGGATCATGACCTGAGCTGAAGGCAGATGCTTAACCGACTGAGCCACCCAGGCGCCCCAGGACGCAAACTTTTATTGGGAAATAAGTTTTTACTTCCAAAAAAATACTCTTTAAACGCTCCCACCTCTTCCAAATTTAGAGCTCGTTCCCCTTCCTCAGTATCTCCCCCAACGCCTGCCCTCTTCCTCCCAGCCCTTCATTTCTCTGCCCCATCATCTCCTCCTCCTGTGTTCTGCCATAGTCCCTTCCCACCTGATACACATATTCTGTTTCATAACTAGTCTAATAATAATTAAAATATAGCTATTCTCCTATATTTGAATCAAGGTGTGTAGTACTTGTTCCAAATTTTAAAAACAGAGAAGCGAGACCTATTATAATCTCTCAGAACCAAGGTAGCTTTTTTGTGGACAACAGCACTCTTCCTAGGGCACCAGGGGCCACAGCCACAGGAGGATTCTCCAAATCCTGCCCTCAGCTCTCTGATCCTCTCGTCAGTGCACAACTGGCTCTGGGACTCTCAAAAACATGTATTCTTCTTCCATTCTCCTGTCTTGCTTTCCTCCCATCAATCTGCTCAGCTTTTGAAGAACTCCATCACCAATGTCACCCTGTTTTCCCAAGTGGTACACCTACCCCTGGTCTCACCCCTCCAGAAGGCTCTCTCAACTAAGGAGTCCTTAGAATTAACCACATTACCTGCCAAACATTGAGTTGGAGCAAAATTCAGTGCGTGGACAGTTTCTGATTTAAAAATGGTTCCAACAGTTCATTAAATTATTTCAAACTCTGAAGGGTGGCTGGGTATCCAGGCCAAACCACAAAGGTAAGAACTCAGACATTTACAAAAATAGGGGAAAAATAAACACGTTCCCATGCTTGATGCTGGCAGGTTTATCAATCAGTAATATAGGAGAGGGATGCACACAGCAGCAGAGGGCTCCTGAGCAGGAACACCACTGCAAGAAGAACAAGCAGTGTGGACAGAGTGGGAATGAGAAAGGCAGGAGGAGCTCTGCAAAAAGGCGCCAAGGTAGCAAAGACTCTTAGAATTACAAAAAGGCAGCAGCTATGTTGTTTGCTAAGAGACTTTAAGACGCAGTTCACTGTGCTGCTAACAGAGCCATTACTTTGACAACATTGATGTGACTTACATTCCTTGATTACATGCATTTTGAAGGTTGCTACTTAAAGACAGAAATCTTACAGAAAAAAATACTGAAAGTCTTAACTCTATTGTCTAAACCCTAGCCCTTCCTCCACAGAACACAAACACAGTTGGACGTTTCTAGGTCACTGGCTGAAGCACACCCAGCACAAATCAAGTCCTGCCTGCGAGTCCACCGCCAGAGAGGGACAGGAAACCAAACAGGGAAATGTTCAGGGCCACATGGCTCTTTCATCTGTGCATCAGCAACAAAATCAAAGGGAGGTGACCAGGAAAAGCATCGTTGGTTAAGTTCTCAAAGAGAAGAAAATGGGTAATTTATGGAAAATCAGCAAACTACATAAGGCAAAGTGTAATCCAAAAGTGCCATGAGAAATACGTCAAGCTCAAAATTCACTATTTTTATTTTCCTTTTATCTTTTTATCCTAATATTACAATATTTTACATGAACTGGAAAAAACTGGAAACCATAAAAACTTCTAGTTTCTCTTCATTAAGTCACCCTACCATATTCTCATCAAGCATATATAAAAATCTAACCAAAAAATTCAGCAGTTAGGGGTTCCAAACAGTATATAATAGATTTGAACTGGAATATATAACATTTTATTTTACTTTATTTATTTCAAAGAGAGAGAGTGAGCATGAGAGAGTAGAGGGTCAGAGGGAGAAGGAGACTCCCCATTGAGCAGGGAGCCCAATGCGGGACTCGATCCAGGGACTCCAAAATCATGACCTGAGCCGAAGGCAGTTGCTTAACCAACTGAGCCACCCAGGTGCCCAACATTTCTTTACTTAAAATTTAGACACTGTACATTACATAAAATAAGTTTAATTACTACATTACTGACTTAACCATTACATATCACTTTTTCAAATACGGAATGGCATTCTGAATATAAAATTAAACTTAACATGTTTCCCTTTGCAGTTATTATATATTCCACACAGGCCATTCTCTTAAAACCAAAAGAAAAGCTATGAGTAAGATGGAAACAACAACTAAAAATATTACCACACAAAAAGGGCGGTAGCATTTAATCACAAGCCGAAGACACCATCCCAGGACAAACTCAAAACCGTTGCAGGAAAGCAACAGAGGGGCACCTGGGTGGCTCAGTCAGTTAAGCAGCTGCCTTCGGCTCAGGTCATGATCCCAGGGTCCTGGGATGGAGTCCCGTGTCGGGCTCCCTACTCAGCAGGGGAGTCTGCTTCTCCCTCTGCCTGCCACTCCCTCCCCTTGCTTGTGCGTTCGCTTTCTCCCGCTCTCTGTCAAATAAATAAACAAGATCTTAAAAAAAAAAAAAAAAAAAAGGAAAGCAACAGAAACACTGCAGGAGTCCACAATTTGGGACCAAGATCAATCAATTCAGAAATGCCATCAGATCTCAATTTCTTTAAAATGATTTACCTTTAACATATAAAACTAGTCTAATGCAATTTACAGAAACTCACTGAGTGTGCATTCAGGATTTATATTTAGAAATAATTTTTTAATTTAAATTCAATTTATTAACATATAGTGCATTATTAGTTTCCAAGGTAGAGTTCAGTGATTCATCAGTTACATATAACACCCAGTGCTCATTACATTATGTGCCCTCCTTAATGCCCATCATCCACTTACCCCATCCCCCCTCCTCCCTCCCCTCCAACAACCCTCAGTTTGTTTCCTAGAGTTAGAGGAGTCTCTCATGGAGAATCCATACTGTATGATTATATAAATTTCTAGAAAACACAATCTATAGGAACAGATCAGGTTACCTTGAGACATGACTAGGAGTGTGTTGTGGGGTGAGGGGTGGGAAGAGGCAGGAGGGATAGGTTAAAAAGAACATGAAAACACTTTCAGAGTGATGACCATGCTCATTATCTTGATTGTGTTGACAGTTTCATCAATGTATAGATGTCAAAACTTACCAAATTGTACTCTTTTGTATCTGCAGTTTATTGTATGTTGATTATACCTTAATACAGCTATTTTAAAATAAAAAATTATTTTAAAAAAAGTCTCTCATGGTTTGTCTCCCTCTCTGATGACTTCCCATTCAGTTTTCCCTCCCTTCCCCTATGATCCTCTGTGCTGTTTCTTATATTCCACATGAGTGAAACCATATGATAATTGTCTTTCTCTGACTGACTTATTTTGCTCAACATGTTACCCTCCAGTTCCATCCACATCGATGTAATGTTAAGTATTCATTCTTTCTGATGGCTGAGGAATACTCCATTGTATCTATGAACCCCAGCTTTTTTTATCCATTCAGATGTCGATGGACATCTGGGGTTTTTCCATAGTTTGGCTACTGTGGACATTGTTGCTATGAACATTGGGGTGCACATTGAGCCCTTCTTTTCACTACATCTGTGTCTTTGGGGTAAATATCCAGTAGTGCGATTGCTGGATCGTACGGAAGCTCTATTTTCAACTTTTTGAGGAATCTCTACACTGTTTTCCAGAGTGGCTGCACCAGCTTGCATTCCCACCAACAGTGTAAGAGGGTTCCCCTAGAAATAATTTTTTAAACCACTTACTTAGATGAAGTAGTACCTGTATCATGCCAAAATCAAAAGTATTTTGAGACAAAGTATTTTATAACTGGATATAACCTGTGGTGTGAGACTGGGACTGGAGGTATGGGTGTGATCTCCTGGCTTTAATACATACCAACCCAGACACAGGAACAGCTGTGTGCACACACACGTGTTAACCTCAGCTCTCTTCCCCAGTGCTCCAGAGGCATGTCAAAACGTGGAGCAGCACCTTCCTGCCTCCCACGGCCAGCCCCTCCCTCGCCCCAGATCCAACCCATTACCACACCCTGTGCAGTCCATCCCATGCCTGCCCCCTCCCCCTGCTGTTGTCAGCCGGTCATCACCAGTGAGTCTCCCCTGGACAGGACCACCCCTCCTAACTCTCCTTGGGTCCGCTCGGACCCCCTCCAATAGGACCAGGGTGGTCTTCCCAAAACACAGTTCTAATCATACAACATCCCCCTCCTCCCTTCGCACTCATCCCAGGATTAACCTAGAACCTTTAATGGCTTCCCGCTACTCTGAGCATCAAGACCAAAATTCCTAGCTATGGCCCACAGCCTCTGCCACTGGTCATGCCTCTCTCATCCAGCCCCATCCAGTATAGCCACACTAGTTCTCTAATGCTCCTGCAATAAACTAAGTGGCTCAAAACAATACACACTCTCTCACAGTGACGGAAGTCAGCAGTCCAAAATCCATCTCACTGAGCTAAGCTCAAGGTGCTGCATGGATGGTTCCTGCATGGATGGTTCTGGGAAGAAGCTGTTCCCATACCTTTTCAGCTTCTTGAAGCCACCTGCATTCCTTGGTTTGTGGGGCCCTTTCTGCCATCACTCCAAACTAAGGCTTCCACTATCATATCTCATCCTACTGACTCTGATCCTCCTACCTTTCTTGTGGAAGAACCCTGTGATGACACTGGGCCCCCTGGACAATCACCCCATCCAAGCTCTTTAACTTAATCCCAGCTGCCAGGTTCCTTTTACCCTGGAATGTACCACAGCCACAGGTTGTTTGGATGTGGACCAAGTCTTGGAGGGCTATTATCCAGCCTACAACTGACCGTGCCCAGGCCTGCCCACCTCCACTCTCGATTCCCCAGCAACAATGCCTGTTTAAGGCTTGGTGCCTCCCCGTCACAGACCTTCTGTAAACATTCCCTCCACGCTGATCCTCACACCACCCAGGAAACTTCTATCATCCTTCAGCTCCAAGCTCAACCGTTACTTTCTTGATACCTCAGCTCAAGTCAGAAACCCTTGTCTCAGGCCCCCATAGAGCTGTCTTTCAGAGCATTTATCTCCAAAAGCATTTACTTGTGTAACTACATGATTAAATGGTAATCTCTGTGCAAGGAGGGGCCAGGTCTTATTACTTACCATATTCCCATGGCCCCATACAGTCTCTGGCACACACCTTGACAAACACTGGTCATTGAATGAATCCTCTGAATAGAGTCAAAACTGTAATTTATGTGACTTCCTGGTGAAAAGCTCCAAACTATAAAGATGCCAGGCACGGGCGCCTGGGTGGCTCAGTTGGTTAAGCGACTGCCTTCAGCTCAGGTCATGATCCTGGAGTCCCGGGATCGAGTCCTGCATCGGGCTCTCTGCTCGGCAGGGAGTCTGCTTCTCCCTCTGACCCTCCTCCCTCTCATGCTCTCTGTCTCTCATTCTGTCTCAAATAAATAAATAAAATCTTTAAAAAATAAATAAATAAATAAAGATGCCAGGCACAAAGAAAGCAAATAGCAGTTCCAAATATTAATCCAAGTCAAAAGTTACTAGAGCAGACACTTCCAATGGCAGGCATTCAGCAACCTAGCTACCTGCATACAATGGCAGTCCCATATGGTATGCCCCGGGGTCAGGACATATGGGTATAACCAGAAGGATCACATCACAGTCATCTGAAAACTAATACGCTTCCCCAAATGGAAAGATGAGATGATGGATATCTTTGCACAAGAAGACATATGGCTCTTTCATGCTTCTACAGAAGCTGTGTTGTACTCCACTACATGTCCTCTGTCCGCTGACATTGAAGAGACCTCCAAGGCTCCCCACAGACAAGCAACGAAGCCATCAACGTTCTTACACATACAACTCTGTACTTTTCTTAACATGAGTAAAAACTGGATCAAGGGGCACACACATTTTGAACTATCACTTCTGGTGATAGTATACAAGACTCGTCAGACAAATATTCCTCCTGAGGGCAATTAAGGACAGTAGAGGAAATATACAAAGGGCATCTAGTGAGGGAACCCCATAGTAAGTAAGCTTACAGTAAGGCAACAATGCAGAGATGAAGGCAAAGAACTCAATGAGCTTTTGCTTTAAGGTGAAACATAAGCAATGAGAAATTAACCTGAATACAGTACAGTGACCAAACAATGAGAAAACAAAACTAAATGAGACACTGGGGCACAGATAATGGCTCAGAATTTTTCCAGAACTGGCGAAAGATACTGATATTCTGTACTGTCAAGAAGCCCAAACAAATCCCAAGAAGAATATAGATTAATGTACTATTTCATATGGACTGTATTTTGCAACTTTTAAAAAGGCTAAAAAAGAAAAGGAAATTACTCTAACCCCAACTTATTCCCTTAAGTGTGAGGAAGTATGTAAACAGAGTAGAAGGATAGGAGACTGAACGTCTTAGTTGAATTAACAGAAAGTCTGTGATAAAGCAACAAATCAAAAGCTAACTTCTGTCACACAAATAGGGACTGACGCTAATAAGATAACTAGCTGAGAAAAAGAAACTGCATACTCACAGAAAGTAAGGCAGGGGGTGGAGGGAAGGTAGGAGGTGTTAAGAAGAAACTTTTACTTTATACATTTAAGCATTATTTAAAATTTCATTTTAATATGTTTGTTGTTTAAAAAAACTGCAATCATTTTTGGGGGGCACCTGGGTGGCTCAGTCGTTAAGCATCTGCCTTCGGCTCAGATCATGATCCCAGGGTCCTGGGATCGAGCCCCACATCGGGCTCCCTGCTCCGCGGGAAGCCTGCTTCTCCCTCTCCCACTCCCCTTGCTTGTGTTCCCTCTCTCACGCTCTCTCTCTCTGTCAAGTAAATAAATAAAATCTTTTATAAATAAATAAATAAAATAAAAAGTAAAAATAAAAAAACCGTCATCATTTTCAAATAAAAATTTTAGGTAGTTCTAGAGGGGTGCCTGGCTGGCTCAAACAGTGGAGTATGTGACTCTTGATCTTGGGGTTGTGAGTTCAAGCCTCACGTTGGGTGTAAAAAATAATAAAATCTTTAACCAATTTTTTTTTTTAAATTTTAGGGAGTTCTAATTAATAGTAAGGTAAAAGACCATTAGTTTTTCCAAAAAACAGACTATTTTGAAACTATATTTAAAAGAGAAAAAAGACTGATTTACAACCCAATATACACTCACCCCCTCAAAAAAAAAAACCCTGAATTAACTAGCAATATGTATTCTTTCTTGACCAAAATATTACATTTCTTAAAGACTTTAAAGAGTGTAATGTTTTATTTGTGAATAACTAATGCAGCATATTTTTCAATATTTAAAGATACCCATTTACCTGGCCCACTGGTTGAATGATCACTGCCATACATATCAAATTCTTGTGCTTCAAGCTGTCTGTATTTGTTAATATACTCCACTTCTGAGCTCTTTCGGCTAAGTGGCCTGCAAAGAATATTCAATGTTAGTATACTGTTTCCGAAAAGCCAAGAAACCCCATGTGCCAGAGGAATTCTTGAAGAGTTACTTTTGCACTAAATCATAGAAGAAAACATGCAAATGAAAATATGCTCCACTCCACATCTACTCGCCACTGAGTGCAAATTCAAACAGTGAGAAACCGTTGTTTCCTCCATCAGAGTGGAAGAATGAATGTTCTCCGATCACAGCGGAGTGGTAAATGGGGAAGACCGTTAGTGATGCTGAAGGGCAATCTGCCGATATCTGGGCCACACTTCCCCCGCAGCGTCTTCCACAGAGCAGCATCTCAGCACGGAGGTAAGGACACACCGGCCCAGACGTGCACGGAAGCGCTCATTTACTCAGCAAACGGTACCGACCGTCCAGCACAAGCGAGGCACCACCCCAGACACCAGAGATACAGCAGTGAACAAACAACGTCCTTGCCCTCATGCGACAGTCACTCAAGTGGAGGAGACAGAAGATACATGCTCATCAGGGATACCGAGGGAAATTTAAAAGGCAAAGGTATAAAGGACTCCAGGGAAGAAGGGTCCAAACATTATGAAAGGGAGGAGCCTCTTCACAGTATCTGTAATAGTTAAGACCTGAAAACCAATGTCCAAGGGAGGCCTAAGCTCAACTATGACACACTCCTACTTAGTATGCATCTTTTTAAGGACTGCCATAGCTATTATTCATACTAGTAGGTAAAAACGTCCAAGATGTTAAGTTAAAAAAAAGATAACTGCAATGTGATATGCAAAATATACTGTTATAATGTTTGTATTATCAATACTTAATTGCCCTGCTGTCAGAGAGAAGACTGTGTAATACCAATTCCTGAAATAGGAGATTTACTTTAATAAAATGCTATTTGCATTAAATCCTACTTTTGCCTGATATTCATAGTTAACAGCAGCATTCTTTTGGTTACCATTTACCTGACGCTCCTTAATCCACTCAGCAAATTAATAATTAAGGGCTGACTCCACGCCAGGCACTGTCCTAAACACTTGGGATAAAGTAGCTGCCAGGGATGCCTGGGTGGCTCAGTCAGTTAAGCACCTGACTCTTGATTTCAGCTCAGGTATGATCTCAGGGTCGTGGACTGAGCCCCACATTGGGCTCCACACTGGGCATGGAGCCTGCTTAAGATCCTCTCTCCCTCTCCTGCTGCCCCTCCCCCCACCAAAAGCAGCCGGCAGACTTTTCTCATGGAGCTTCCAGTCTGGTTGAGAAAAGAAAAATAAAGGAAAACAAGAGTATGTTAGAGATTCTAAGTCCACAGAGAAAAACACAGCCAGGAGAGGAGATGGAGTGAGGGTGGCTGCAGTGTTAATTGATGATAAGGTGACATTAAAGCAAAGATCAAAACAAAGTAAGAGAGGGGCCGTGCAGCCCTATGAGGGGAAAGATCTCCTGACGGAGAACCCGGAAAGCCAGAGCCCTGAAGCAAGTGTGCCAGCAAGAGTCAGGAGACAGGAGCCAGAAGAAGTGGGAGGAGCCTAGAGGGACAGGGAAGTGGAATGGCTCTCAGGGAGGGCAGGGGGCAGGCTGCTGGCAGGCGCTGATTACAAAGATTTTGGCTTTTGCTCTGAGATGAGTTTTAAGCGGGGACAGAGAAACAGCAATATCGAACTCCTATGGTAACAGGCTGGCTGGGAGCAGCTGAAGCTGGGTGAGGTGACAGGGGCAGACACAGCAGAAGCAGAGAGACCACCTAACCATACTAGCACAACAGCCAAGGCCAGAGACTAGGTGGCTTGGACTAGAGGAGCAACAGGTAAGGGGGAGCCACTGGAAAATGCTGGTGTACTAGATCTGGGTATGAAAAAACAAGAGTCAAGAACGATTCCCTGGTTCCCGTTGTTGGGAGGACCAACACACACACTGTACCCTGTGCCCCACAAAATGAAGCTACCAAGCCAGGATGGAACACATGGGCTGTTACTGGAGTCTCTGAAAGCACAGTAACGGGCAGACAGGGGAGGAAGACCAGAATTCAGAGCACCAGCAGGCAAACCAGGGGCGCACCGGCCACTGTCTAACTCTGCCATCCCCTGAGCTGAACTCACTGCAGTGCCAAATGCACACACAGGTCTTGGCATAGACAGAGCACCCCAGAAGTGCCCTTGTGCCTTTTGGAGCAAGAAAGGGGACCCCAAATGCTCAAAGTGAGGGCAGTCTCCAGTTTTTCTCTTTTCTCCTTTCTCTCATGTTTCAGGGGTCAGCAAGGGCCTCAAACTCTAAGGAGTGGAAACACCACCTCCCAGAGGGTAGGGCAGACCCTCACTGCCTACTTTCCTCCTGGGTCCTCCCACTGCTTGACCCCAGATGTGAATGCAGGTAGATGTACTGGCAGAAAGCGCAGGGTGGAGCAGAGCAATAAAGGACCAAAAAGGGGAGCTGCCTCAGGGACAGGAGAGTACCTGGGAAACCCAGACCCACCCCCCAAGGCCGTCCATAAGCTACTGGGCTCACCCCAAGGCTGCAGAGCATGCACAGACCCCCAACAGCTCACCACGGACTGAAGACTGAGGGCTTAACTACAGAACAGCCAGCAGGTGGCACCATGCAGGACAGACCCAGACAGCACGGTGATGGCTCTGAAAACCCACCAAGACCTTGGGTGCCTGGGGGGCTCAGATGGCTAAGCGGCTGCCTTCGGCTCAGGTTATGATCCCAGGGTCCTAGGATCGAGCCCCGCATCTGGCTCCCTGCTCAGCAAGAAGCCTGCTTCTCCCTCTCCCACTCCCCCTGCTGTGTTCCCTCTCTTGCTGTGTCTCTCGTCAAATAAATAAATAAAATGTTAAAAAAAAAAAAATAAAGAAAACCCACAGAGACCTTGAACCCCACAGAAGGCTGGCAGGAACTTGCTGCCTGAACACAGCTGCTCAGCTGCATTCCCCAGAGGATTTAAACAAGCCCCAGAGCCCCATAATATCAGAATACCCAGGATACACACAACTACTCAGCATATGAAGAACGAGGAAAATCTCCAGAATGGAGCAATGACCACTTAGATATTGGCTACCAATTTAGAAACCCTACACCTCACACCAATCTCAAATCAATTCCAAACTGATTCAAAACCCAGGCACTTATGTTTTTAAGCCAAAAGCTAATGTTCTCCAACATTCAAGAACTTTGGAGTAGAGAAGGCCTTCATAAACAGGAGCACGAAAAGGAAAAGTCAAAAAGGACAATATCAACAAACTAAACTGTCATTTAAGCTGATGAACAACGTCTCTAGAAAGGGCAAGAGCAATAGTCACTCAGGAGAAAACATCTACAGCGCATGGCACTGGAGTACGTTAAGAATTCCTGTAAATCGGGGCACCTGGGTGGCTCAGTCATTAAGCGTCTGCCTTCGGCTCAGGTCATGATCCCAGGGCCCTGGGATCGAGCCCCGCATCGGGCTCCCTGCTCTGCAGGAGGCCTGCTTCTCCCTCTCCCACTCCCCCTGCTTGTGTTCCCTCTCTCGCTGTGTCTCCCTCTGTCAAATAAATAAAATCTTTAAAAAAAAAAAAAAAGAATTCCTGTAAATCAAGAACATATGCACAACCCAATATAAACGTGATTTTTACCTTTAAAAAGCACATGCATCAGTGTATTTTTTTTTTAAAGATTTATTTATTTATTTGACAGAGAGAGCGAGCGAGAGA